TGATTTTCGGCGAGCAAAATCTCGAACTGCGAGGGCCGAGGCGATGTGGATCTGACTGGCTGAGAGGCCCCCGACCTGACTACAGGCTGCGAGGTGGGGGGAATAACTTGTCTTTCTCTCCAGGCTGCGAGGTTGAGAGGTCTCTCCTCGGCGGGGGAGACGCTCGCTACGATGGTGGGGCTAAGCCTGCTGTGCAGCGGGGTGTCGAGGTGGAACTTGTTGTTGATGTTGAGGCAGCGTTGGAGACTGCTACTGGTAAACGTGGTGGAGCATTTGCTGCTGGTACAGCTGAAACTGGTGAGCCTGCTAAATTTGAGCTTGCATAGCTCGCACACAGTGTACTAGGTTTTCTAGCTAGTTTTGTCGAACCACCGGGAGAATTGATGGTTCTACAAAGGTCACCTCTACCAGCGAAGGGAGTGGAGCATTTACTGGCGCCATAACCTGAGGCGCGCTAAGGGTAGGGACTCTATCTGCGGAGAGGGGTACAGTGAACTGGTCAATGCAGACGGTAGGGAGCTGAGGTCATTCTCCGGAGGTGTTTTGGTCAGCACTTCGTCCGACATTGCTGGAGGAAGCCATTGAAGTCTTACTGAAGTTGCTTGGTGAGAGGCTTTTTGAAGCGTTTCCCACAGACGGCGCCAAATGATGTAGCACGATTTGGTCACTCCTACCTAGCAGGGGCCTCGTTCCTAGCTGGAAATGGACAGCACCTGAGAAAGAAAAGACGAAGGATTTCCGGGGAGCTCGCCCGGCGGGAACACTCCAATGCTTAAGTTAGAACTCTGTGTAGAGCTTAGAGAGTTGTGAAGAAATAAATGCTAAGAGTGAAGATGCGTAGTTTTCGATTACAAAAATTCAATTATTCTTTTCCTTGGGGGTCGGAGCCCTTATATATTAACGCTCTGTCAAATTGGGTGTAACCGCCTCTGATTCTCTGCTACACCCGTTATTCGTCAGGTTGATTTGATTGGTGCAGGTATACGTCGCAAGGTACGGTCCTGTCAGTTGAGAGACATTATGCAGAGCCGGCGTGCACGACGCCGCCAGACAAAAGACGTGGGAGCAGTCTGACAAGCATGGTATTGTCGGATGAGAAGTTTCTCGAAGACTCCRGTTTACTCAATAGCGAGCTCTTTTGTAGCGAGCTCCCTTGTAGCGAACTCCTTCGTAGCGAGCTCTCTTGTAGCGAGCTCCTTCATAGCGAGCTGCCTTGCAGCAAGTCGTTCTATAGTGGGCTGTCTTGTGGCGAGCTATTCTGTTGGGGTTTCAGCGAGCTCATTACACCGAGTTTGTGGCCAAGCTGTCATGCTGAGCTGTCACTTACGTCGAGTCATATCCACGTGTCCCTTATTTAGGAGGTCGGGTCAAATTACCCTCCATCAAGTACCAAGTCTAATCCCTTCAACTTCAAACTTTAAACAAGAAAGGTCACATTGTGAAGAGTCTCACTGATTTACCATATTAATGTAGTCCTTGTTGTATTGTATCTCTTATTTTGTTGTTCTTTAGCACCGCAAGGGCTTTTCTATAAATATTGTTATTTTATTAATCTTTATATTGAGGCTCTTGAGGTTGGGCCAAACTATTTAATTCTTCACCCCAGAAATCTTTCTTCTCCTATCTAGTATGATCTACTTGTTTGACATGGTATCAGAGCAGGTTGCTCTGTAATCAKTACTTGCTTCATGCTCACTCTCTGGCATCTCAAAGGTTACTGATTTCTGTGTACTTTGTTTGAAGATAGGGCTGTTCTGATTAACCCTAGTCCTTGCTCTCCAGTCTACAATTTTATCAAGAGAGGTCTTCCTAGAACTCTCCTGGAAATCTTTTGTTTGGAAAGAAACTTGATTGGTTGTGTCGCCCTAGTCTATTCTACTGACTCAGAAATGTTCTTTGAGGTTGGACAAGTTTTTGGAGGAGTTCTGGTCTTCTTTCTAGGGCGACAATAGTTTTCTTCTTCATTCCTTGGATTGGTGTATTCTCAAGTATTCCCGAAGCTTCGAACACTAAATCCTTGGCTACTATTGCTTCATATTGAGGGGTTTCAATAGACCTACTACATTCCTCTTCAAGCTTCTCATCTGAATTCTATCGGTGATTGATTTCAACTGCACAAAGTAATACCCTATCTGGAAAACTCCCTACATCTGGTTGGTGAATCTCTTTATTTTCTCAACCGACTATCATTTACTTAGAACCCTAGTTTTTTGTGTACTATCCTTGGGTATCTTTACCCTTTGGTTACTTGGTAGGAGTTGTATTTAGTACTGGGGGATATTTAATCCTCTCCTCGGTTCAATAGTCCTGGAACACTCAGGTTGGATTGTCAACACAACACACACTTTAGTTGGTGTTTTTCTGTATAGTTTCTTAGAGGATTTTGATTCCTTATAAAGTGGCATATCAGTATTGAAGATATTTGATTATATTTCTCTTCTAGACCAGATTTCATTGCTATTTGTCTGCATTGCTTGCTGCAACCTTGATATTAAGTTCCTTTTCTCTAAGAAAGTTTTGTGTTTAGTTGATGCAATACTACCTTTTAGTACTTAAACTACTGTTGAATTAAGTGAAGTGGTTAACAACCCTGAACTACAAATATCAGTGCTACTACTTTTCTCCCTAGGTTGCCTTTATTTATTTCTAATGGTTGAAAAAGTAGATATTATCCCTATGAAATTTGATGGAACCAACTACAGTATGTGGAAATTCCATTTCGATTTATTCATTGATGGCAAGGGACGTGAAGGTTACTTGAATGACATTGTCTGCAAGCCTGATGATGCAGACAACAAAGCCTTTGCATAATGGAAGTTGGGTAATTGAAGATTAGTCTCATGGATTCTAAGTTCTATTGCACCTCATATTTTTGTTCCTATGAGAAGATTGAGAACAACCCATGAGATGCATTCCTATTTGAAGAAGGTTTACCATTAGTCCAATATCTCTTAGCAATATCAGCCTATTGCTAGGGGGACAAAAACGATACAGGAATACTATGCAAGTTTCATTGATTTATGGGTAGAGTATGAACTGGTTCACACTGAACCATCGGATCCCATAGAGCATGTCAAGTATCTACAAAAGCATTTTGAGAGTAGAAAGGTGAAACAATTCCTTATAAGGTTGAGATCTGAATATGAAATAATTAGGTCAAATATTTTGAGTAAAGGAACTCTTCCATATTTAGACTCTGTGATGGGAGAGTTGTTGAGGAAGGAGACTAAACTCTTGACTACTGCAAATATAGAGGGAAAACAACTTGATTCAAGGACTGATATTGTTTTTATTGCACATGGGAGTCCGAAATCTTGTGGAATCCCTCTAAAGCTCAATGTTATGAGTCTAAGGGGTTTCGACATATAGCTTCACACTATAAGAATAAGAATGTATGCACCTATTGCAAACAACATGGTAATATCATTCTAAGACTGCCCAATTCATCCATCCAAGGGCACTATGAAGAAGAATAAACCACGGGCTTATCAGGTGTTCGAGGGACAGATGACTGATGCCTCTATAGCCAAGGGAGAATCCTCTACTTCCATGAATAAGGAAGAGATATGACAAATGGTATCCTCTACTACCTCATTTGCTTTTTCTACTATTGGCCCATCTGGTGAAATCTCTGGTTACTATTCGTCTCCCTCTCAAGTTTAGATAATTGATTATGGTGCTACAAATCAAATGATTGGAGCCTACTCTGAACCATCAAACAAATCATATTGTCACTGCTAATGGTAAGAAACTTGACATTATTGAGAGTGATGATTTGTGTCTCAAATTCTCACCCTCAAAATCTTGTCCCTTTCCAAGACTTTCCTTGTCCCTAAACTTATTAATAACTTTATTTCAATTGGTCAACTAGTTGATGGTCACATTCTAACTTTTTCCTCTGATGGTTGTTTGATTCAGGACTGATGCACTAGGAATGTGAAAGGGAAGGGGCATAGGCTAGGCTGTTTGTTTGCATTGGAGTTTTAGATATCACAATTAGCACCATCATCTGTTTATTTGAGCTCTTCTACATTGAGTCCTATTTTGGGTCAGAGAAACTATGTCTAGGATTTGTGGCATAAATGTTTGGGTCACCCAAACTCTGAAAAACTTAAATATTTGTTTAAGTCTAGTTTTATTGGAACTAAAATTCCTTCTATGAAATCCTTTGATACATCTTGTGTTTCTTGTTGTTTAAGTAAGAGTCATATTTTGTCATTCACTCACAAAGTTGAACATGCTACTTCACCTTTTGAAATTATACATAGTGATGTTTGGAGTTCATCTATTATTTCTCAATTAGGACACAAGTATTTTGTACTCTTCATTGATGAATGTACCAGGTACACTTGGATCTACTTTTTCAAACACAAGTCAAAAGTTTTTCAAATCTTTCGGTTGTTTCATACTATGGTTTGAATTCAGTTTTAAGCAAGTGTGCAGACCTTATGCTCCGTCTTAGGGGAAGAATATAGTGATAGAGAATTTCAGGTTTATTTGAAAAATCATGGCATACAAGTCCAACGGTGTTGTCTAGACACTCCTCRAAAAAATGGTGTGATAAAACAAAAGAATGGGCACATTCTCAATGTTGTGAGGACTCTTCTACAAGAGTCACATGTGCCTCCCACCTTTTGGGTAGAGGATAATAGTACGGTTATGCATTTTATTAATTGTATCCCTTTATCGGTTCTTGATAACATATCTCTTCATCAAAAGATGTTTAAATGCCCCCTAGATCTTTCCTATATTCATGTTTTTGGGTGTCTATGGTTTGTACATCTTCCCCCTCGTGAACGTTCAAAGCTTTCAGTTCAATTTGTCATGTGTGCTTTTGTGGGATATAGTCCTAATCTTAAGGAATTTCTTTGTTATGATCCCTCTGCATGTTATATTCACATTTCTCATAATGTGATTTTTYTTGAGCATATCTTTTTTTCTCAGGAGTTTCCAAGTTATCTACACCCTTTGTTTCTATTTTGTATGATTTTGACTCATAGGATGCTTCATCATCAACTGCCAAGAAAGATCTACTCATCTTCTCTTGCAAGCGAGTTCGTGGTCCAGTACCTATGTCTATGACCCCTCTTCCTCCCGGTTTGGATCCTTCACCCATCTCAGATAACCCTGTAAGTGACATTCCTGTTTTAGACCCCTCGGATGTTCTTCTTGTTCCTTTATGTCGTTCTACACATATATCTAGATCACCTGACTGCTATGGTTTTCCTTTAGATCATAAATCCTTTTCTACTATTTTGTCTTCCACAAATATTACCCGCTCATACTAATAGGCCATTAGCAATCCTCAATGGAGAGATGCCATGGATGCAAAAATTCAAGCTTTGCACAAGAGCAACACTTGGGACCTAGTTCCAACACCTTCAAATGGCTCTGTTATTGGGAGCAAATGGGTCTACTCCATCAAGTTGAAATCTAATGGGTCTTTAGACCGATATAAAGCTCAGCTTATGGCTTAGGGCTATATGCAGGAGTATGGCATCGATTATGAGAAGACATTTGCCCCAATGGCCAAGATCACTATAGTCTGTGTTCTCTTAGCCCTCTTTGCTGTACACTCTTGGACTATCTTTCAACTAGATGTGATCCATCCCTCATCTATCGGTTGAAGAAATCTATTTATGGGCTAAAGCAAACTCCTCGAGCTTGGTTTGAAAAATCAGAGATGTTGTGTAAGCCGGGTATAACCAGAGTGCTTTTGATTACTCTCTCTTTATGGGGAAAAGACCCCAAGGTATTACAATTCTCCTCCTGTATGTGGATGACATGTTGACTGGAGATGATATTAAAGGAATTCATGAGCTCAAGTTCAAAGGATTTAGGCCCTCTTACCTATTTCTTGGGACTTGAAGTTCAAAGGAATTCTCGGGGTATTTCATTTGCCAACACAAGTATGCTTCTAATCTTGTCTAGTTGGCTGRTCTTACCRACGATAAACGAGTAGACACTCCCTTGGGGTTGAATGTCAAATTGTCCAAGTCAAAAGGTTCCTTGGTTCTTGAGGCCTTCCTCTATCAGAAACTTGCGGGATCTCTCATCTATCTCACCACTCGTCAACCCAACTTGTCTTTGCTAGGTTGTAAGTTAGTTTGTCTCCGCCCCTCATCAACCCCATTTAATTGAGGTACGTTGGTTCATCTATTATGTTCAGGGCTCTTTATCATAGTGTCTCTTCTTCTCTTCATCTTCTTCTATACATCTGAGTGCCTATGCTGATGCAGATTGGGTTGGATGCCCCGACACACGTCATTCCACTACTAGATGGTGTGTCTTCATGGGTGATTCTCTAATCTCATGGAAATGCAAGAAACAACAAACTATTTCCAAGTCCTCTACGGAAGCAAAGTATAGGGCAATGCCATCTATTTGTAGCGAAGTTGTTTGGCTTCAATCTTTATTTCAGGAATTGGATCATTCCTCTCCTACACCCATCCCTCTATACGCAGACAACACTAGTGGTATTAAGATGGCCTCTAATCCTGTCTTTTATGAAAGGGCGAAGCATATTGAGGTGGATTGCCACTTTATCCGCAACTTGTTTCTTACGGGCTCTATCTCTGTCCCTCATGTTGCCTCCAATACACAAGTTGCAGACATCTTCACAAAGGCCATGACGAGATCCAAACACCTATTCCTTGTAAGTTGCATCAGTTTTGAGGGGGAGTGTGAAGAGTCTCACTAATGTACCATATTAATGTAGTCCCTATTGTATTTTATCTCTTATTTTATTGTTATTTTCTCTTTAGCCCTACAAGGGCTTTTTTGTAAATATTGTTATTTCATTAATCTATATATTGAGGCTCTTGGGGTTGGGCCGAACTATTCAATTCTTCACCCTTGAAATCTTTCTTCTCCTCTATGGTAATAATTTTTTGTTTGACATACATCACATGTACAAGGTGGTGGACTAGTGAGTGTTTAAATAATTTCCACCATATAAAACACATCTCCCACTTTTAGGAATCCAAATTTGGTCTTACAAAATTTGTCCTCACACTATGCTCACAACATTTGCAGCCATGCATAAAGAACATCTCCACATTAATAAAAACATTTAAGTTTTGAGATTTTCCAAATGCACGAATGCAAGTGCAGAAAGGATGATGTGAAGACAAATTTTGTGAAGATGAAATCCAATTTAGTGAATTGGGATCTCCTGCCAATAAGACATGTCTCAACACCCTTCCTATATGATTTAACACCGAGCATCTTACAATGAGATTGAGGCCCACCATAAAACCGGCCGAGACATGCAATGTATGAGATGTGCCGTACCAAATCATATTGGGAGGGTGTTGGGACATATTTTGTTGGTAGGAGATCCAGACTCGATGGTTGTATAACAGGCCATGTAACAAATGATAACACCCCAACATCAATTATAAAATGTTTGAGGCCCACTATGAGGTTGAATGGTTGTGGGTCCATGAATTTTATGACTAATTATGTGGGGAGATGTCATTCTTTCAAAGTTATTGCTTTTTAAAGGTTCGGAATATATCCCACTCAGAGGGTCCTTATTTTCCAATAGGATCTACTACTTGCTCAACACTCCCAACGTGCCACTAGTGCCAAATGAGTTGGGATGTCCTACCTAATGTTTAAAAAATCGGACTAGACCAATTGGTTGGACCGGTTGAATCATGACCTGAGACCTTATCCAATTCGGTCATACCCCAAATAATTGTCGTGGTTAAAAATCGACTGACCGGCCGRCTTAACTGGAAAAATAGTGAATCAATCCTAGTTTCATGAAACCACCCGAGTCCTTAACTAATAGAAAGCTTAAAATGTGCCTAACAAGATTCAAACCCATGACCTCTTATTTTCATATATTACTTAATTACCATTAGTCCACTTCATAACTTTTGTTAATTAATGACTCTTTGTTGTAAATATTACTTTATTACGCATGTATTAAAAAATGAAAATTAAGAGACTTAACCCTAATAATTTGCTTTAGAAATTTAGGAACTTGTCATCAATACACCATATTTAAGTATATTAAAAGATGTAAAATGTATATATATATATATATATATATGTCATGTAATCGCGGTTTAACCCCAATTGAACCTCTTAACCCATGAACCTCTCCCCTTTCTGGTTCTATGCCCAGTCCTAGGGGTGTTCACGGGTCGGGATGGGTCGGTTTCATGGGATTTTCCCAACCGACCCGACCTAGTCAAGTTACTAGAGGTGGGAACCGAAACCGACCCACTGATAGGCCAAACTGACCTGGTCGGTTTGAGTCGGGTTGGGTTGGTTTGGGTCAGTTTCGGTTTTGCTCCTGTACAAAGCCGAATAAACTCTGAATTAGTTGAGGACTTGAGTTGAGGGGGGCRGACCAACCAAGTTAAGTTAGAGAATAGAAGATTTTAAGAGAAGACAAAAGTGGAATTAGAAGACTAGTAGGAAACTAGGAATTCTAATTGTAATTGCCTAATGGGCCTTCTAGTTCTAGTAGGAATTCTAATTGTAATTGCCTAATCTAGCTAAAAAACTAAAAAATGACCTAATTAATTGAATTCTAATTGTAATTGCCTAATGGACCTTCTAGCTCTAGTAGGAATTCTAATTGTAATTGCCTAATGGGCCTTCTATTTCTAGTAGAAGTCTAGAAGACTAGTAGGAATTAGGAAACTATTCAAACTAGGAAATAGGAACTACCAAACTAGTAGAAGAAAGATTAATTCGGTTCGGGTCGGGTCGATTTCAGTTTTCTTATGTGAAAACCGAAACCGACCCGAGATATCAGTTTTTGTATGTGCCCAACCCGAAACCGACCAATAYAAATGAAAACCCGGCCGACTCGGGTTGGGTCGGTTCGGGTTGGTCGGTTTGGTCGGGTTGGGCATTCTTATGAATAGCCCTACCCAGTCCAATTCTTAGAACATTAGTCCAACCAACAAAATGTGTTTCAACACCCTTCTAACAAGATCCAATATTGTACATCTCACAATGAGATTGGGATCGGCCAAGTATGAGATGTGTGGTGTCAGATCATGTTTGAGAGTATTGGAACTTATTTTGTTGGCAAGTCATCTAGACTTGGTCTAAACGCATTTAASATATATTATTTTGTATGTATTTGTACTGTACATATTTCTATTTATACTCTTTCCGAACTGAGCCTAATTTTCCAAATCCAACGCATTTTATGGTTATTAAATAGATTCCAATCTTATTTATTTTACAATTAAATAACCTAGAAACTTCTCTGTAGAACATGATCTATTCGAAGTTGGAACACATCTTTTTTTTCAAAGTCCAACTCGTCAAAGTCAAAAACTAATGACACTTGAGATATTAATAAATATTTAGGACACGTATCAGTAAATTATTGGCTATTAGACTAATAAATGGAAAATCCCCGTATCGCAGATTCTCGCCTACTTGGTTTTGCTTGCATGTCTTTTTCGTGTCCTCATTGACTCATTTCGCCAAAAAACCAAAACAAACGTCTCTTACTTTTGTCTCTGCAACAGCAAGACTGCGACTTCTTTCTCTTCTCTGAATCACTCTTGTTCTATTCATCGATCGATTGGTTCGGTCAGGAGAAGAAGAAGAATCAAGACGGCATGGGGAGGAGGAGGAACTCGCCTGTAAACGTATTGTTCGGATGGGTTCGGAGACAGTCCATGAAAGTGAAGATTTTCCTGGTTGTGGCCTCTATGATCTGTTCTTTGGTTGCTCTGCAACTCTTTGTTAAAGATCACAACCACTTCTTCGTCGCCTCGGAAGCAATTCACGCGGTAGGAATTATAGTCTTGATATACAAGCTCACCACCCAGAAGACTTGTTCTGGTATCTACGCTCTGTCCCGCTGCTCAATTTCTAGCATGTTTGGTTATTTGAGATTGTTGTGCTTAATTTTTTTTTTTACGAAATTTTGTTGTGCTTTATCCTCTGTTGTTTAGCATTGATGTGGTATATGATTGTAAGAAAATTGTTGTGAAATAGCGAAGTAAAATGCTTAGAAGATACTCATAGTGATGATATGGAGATTGGAGAAGATAAAGAGATTTACTTTTTAACTTTTAAATAGGATTTTTATTTATTATATGGGTATCTGGAAAGACCCGATTTGGACGTTGAAAAACATTAGCTATTAATAAGTGGATACTGTAGTATAAAATCTTGTATAAAGTTTTCCCTTCTCTGTTTCTTTATAAAAGCAAATTTTTTATTTTTTTACTTGTTATTTTTTTTAAATAGGATTGCTATTTTTTATATGAGTATATGGCAAGAATCGAATTGGGCATTGGAAAACACTAGCTATTAATTACTGGGTACTGTAATATAAAATCTTGTACGAAATTTCTCCTTTTCCGTTTCCTTATAAAAGCAAATTATTTTTAGAAATTTTGTTATGTTGCATTTGGGGATTTTGTTCTTCTTACAGTGTAGTGCACGAATCTTTGCATAGAAGGCAAACAAAAGGGGTCCTATTTGAGCTACTCATCATATGCTTCCTTGTAAATAAGGCTCTAGTTGAGAATCTCATTTTCTGTATGGACCAAAGGGTCCTCTTGAAGGACAATCAGAGATATTGTTTTGTTTGTACTTTCTCTTCTTTTAATAATCAAGGTATTTATTTCTTTGGCAACTCCTTGGAAAGCGGTGGAATCCTCAATTGATTTATGAAGTTTATTCAGTGTAGCATTTTTTTTTTTGCCACCAAGAAAAAGTGGGAAAGTACTTTGGTGATGTACTTGGGCAGGCTTTTTTATGGACAATATGGGAGGAGAACAAAAGGATCTTTGAGGACAAATGCCAAGCCAGGGAAGCGATAGTTGAAACTATATTGATTAAAGCAGCACATTGGGTGCATGGTGATGCTAATTGTATTTCTTTTGAACATAGAAAGGAATTGGCAAGCACTTGCTAGCTCGTTGTCTTTTAGAGCTAGACTTATTCCTTGGTGGCCGTCTGCCCCAATAAAGGTTAAAATGAATTTTGATGGTTGTAGCATTGGAAATCCAGAGATTTCTGGTATTGGGGAGTACTCAGACATGCTGATGGAAATGTTCTGGCTCTTTTTTCAGGGCCTATAGGACATGGTGACTCAACAAGGGCTCAATTGTTGAGTGTATTACATGGTCTAAATCTGGGGAAAACTCTTTAATATTGAGACATTGTTGTGGAGGGAGATTCTAAAGTGGTGGTGAGATGGTTGAAAAACAACTACAATGAATATGATCTTACATATATAATCTAAGAGAAGTCAGATATTTGGCTGAAGGAGTTGGAGGTTACATTTCAATGGGTGCCTAGATGTGCAAATAGTATGGCTAGGCAAGGGGAGGGATAAATAGAGTCTAAATGTATTGGGGGGAGGTTCCAAGGAAGCCTTTTGTATAAAATTTTCTTGATCGATTGGAATAAGTTTTATCCCTTTATGCTGTAACTATTGTATAATTTGTCAATATTTTAATAAAATTTGGTTTTATAGATAAAAAAATAGTCAAGGTATTTAAAATCTAGTGACACATTTGAATAGAAATTATCTCCTAGTGACACATTTGATTAGGTTCTTCCACTAATCATTCCACAATATATTTTTAACTTGTTGATTTACATGCTAGATGTTTTGCTATTGAATTCCTACAATAATCCAGCTTGTTCTTATGCTATTGTATGTATCTCCTCTCAAGATGAGAACCTTACATCTTATGACGATGGATTGAAAGATTAGATTGTCCATATGGTTCAACATCATGCCAATCCTACCAGATGGACTTTTCATTTTTCCAGTTATTTTCTTAACACAGAAGCAAACCCTATTTCAGGGGTGGAATGCACAGGTGGTGCTAAACTGAACTTTTAGTTCATTTGGTATTCATCTCTTTTTTCATAATATACTTAGGCTTCTGTTTAGATATCACAGCGAGACTAATCAACATGGGAATTAGGCCATGCATTTTTGAACCAACCAAGCCCATTGACCCTAACTAGTACAAGTATATAACATATACATTTAAAACCATAAACAAGAGAGGTGTATGGTTCAGTGAAATAGCAATTGCTATGGGTGTTGAATGATGTAAGTCAATATTTGCTTAGAAGGAATCAAGTAAATATACTTAAACTTAAACCGAGAGGTTTTGGAATTGACAATCATGATACTTTCCAAATAAGGAATCTTCCAGAGTTCAAGGTTGAAAAAAGGAGCAGATCACTTTTTGGAGGTATGAATCAGGCCTTGAGTAAAGTATCTGTTTGAATGTTCTACAGAGGCATTTAAAGCTACATACAATTTCCAGATAACTATTATTTATTCAATGCAAGATTCCTTTGTTTTAGGATTATAAATAGGCTTTAACTACAGACCATAGAGTTAAGCATGGGATTTAGTTGGTATTTTGTATTTTTTTTAGGTTGACATTTTAAAGTCCATTCTCCAATTATGTACACTACTCTCTAATTTTCCTGCATGTTAAGCATAAAGTAATGGATATTTTTTATATACTTATTATAAAAAGTAATAGAAGTTGTTAACTTTTTCTGAAGTTATCCTTTACAGATAGCTTTTAATTAAATTAAGTCTTAGGCCTAATTTACATTTAAAATGCAGAAAAGAGGGGAAGTAACACCTAGTTCCACTTCATATTGGGACAAATTAACTATTTCTTTATCAGAATACAGCATAGCTCCAAAGGTCCTTCATAGGTGCAAGCTTAGAATGTGTTTTTTCTGACATAATAAATTTGTTTAAATTATATTTTAATTATTAAATTGTAATGTTTCTGACCAATAATGCTTTCTTTAGGTCTTTCTTTGAAGACTCAAGAGATCACTGCTATATTCCTAGCTGTGAGACTCTATTGCAGTTTTGTCATGGAGGGTGACATTCGTACTGTGCTTGATTTTGCAACATGTGTTTCAACTCTTTGGGTTATTTACATGATACGGTTCAAATTGACGTCGAGCTATATCAAGGAACTTGACAATATGCCAATATATTATTTGGTAAAGCATTTTCTCTCATTCATCTCTGGAAGTTTATTTCTTGCATTAAAAGACTTTTTATTCTTTCTAAAGCTGTTAATCCATGTTATATCCTTCCTATTGTATTTATGTTCAGAAAATTGGACTTAATGGGCAGAGTAGGGTTGCTGAAGACCTGGTTGTGGTAGCAACCTAATCACATTCATAGATCAAGGACAAAATACCCTGACCTCAATCATAACATGGGATAGCCTAGGGCAGAGGCATACACTGCGGATGCTCACCAAGATTTTTAATATATTTATTTAAATTATTCTAGGGTGCGGAGTATAGGTTCAGGTGGTGACTTGTGAGTTACTGGTTCCTCAGAGATTTTCTCTAGTGGTATCCAAGGAGGAGAAAGTTTGCTTGTCCTTTTTGTAACTGATGCACAAAACCCAGAAACCCAGATTCAAATGGCACAGTAAAGTGAAGCGAAAAACAGAGATATGAGAAGCAAGAAAAGAGAAGAAAGAAACAGAGCACACAGAAATTTTTGTGGTTTGGCCTTTGGCCTATGTCCATGGGTGATGGAGGAGCAGAAATCCACTATAGAGAACAACAATAGAGAATACAAAGTGAGCTGCCTCTCACGTGTAGAAAACCCTAAACCCCAATACACCCAAAACCCTCACTTTTCTATTCAGTTAGAGTATCAATACAAGAATTCATGGCACAACTCAATATTAACGAAGTGTTAGTGGTAGAAGGATATCTTGACTCCTTTTGCTTCCACCTGCATCCTTTTCAATGAGATGCTAATTAAGGAATTGTTACCTATGATGCCCATTGTCCAAATACAGATACAGACACAAATACAAACATGGAAAATGAGGATATGACTCTATTTCCTAAAATCCTGAACACACGTATGTATATGGGTATCCCATGCAATATGCTTATATCATGCATTTATATCTAGTTTTTGAAGCTAAATGCCATTTCTCAAGACTTATGTCTTGCAAATTTAATTAAATATGTAGGTTGTGCAGATATTTTTATAGTATAATTTGTTAAAATGTTCAAATTTACATATTTTAAGAATGTTAATGCTTTAGAATACATCTAGAAGTATTCATTCGGTATCTGCCTATCCAGCATCATACCCAAAAATGATACACTAGGCATATACAGGTATCAAAGTATCATAGATTGTTAAACCTACCATCACAGAAAATAAGAGGGGCCTAGGACGAAGCTGACATGGTGGTAACTGTTAGAATCCAAGAACAAAATAAAACCAGTAAGCAAGCCTATCATTCATAAAATCTATCCAAGGAAAAAGGAATGTGGGGTAAAGCCAGCTATACAACAGCTTGATGCAAGTGGGAATTTTGGTGTACAAGTGGATTCTTGAATTGTTTACAAGCAATGCTTTAACACTCGGACCGGACCGGGCGGCTGGACCGTTTAACCCGAGAACCAGAAGGCATTCCAGTTTTTTAATCCCCGGTTTTTATGTTTTAGAAAAACCAGAAGAACCAGTCAAAACCCAGCAGAATCGTTGTACAAGTGGGATGACTTGAACCTGAGACCTCAAACTTATATCTATAAGTGCCAAACCATCAAGCTATCATTCATTTTATGAATTTTTGTGTATCTTTAATACATCTTGAACCCTGGTCATTTATGTTAAGAAACAGCACTTTTACCATCCAGCCGCCACTTGCAATTGAATTATAAAATACAAATTCTATTTTTTGTATTTTTTTGCAACTTGCAGTAAAACTATTTGACCTGTGACCCATCACACATTATGGTTTTGTGTACGATCCGAGCTTTAAAACTTTGGTTACAAATAGATTCTTGAGTTGTTACAACTAATAGTTGGTATGGTGTACATCTATAAATAAAAATCAAGCATAATAGGAGACKTACCTTCATTCGATTCAGACTTCTCTCTCTCTTTCTCAAGAGATCATACTATCTTGAACTAGTATTTGTTTTGGGCAAAAACCCAACAGTTGGTATCAAAGCTAATGTCAAGCATTCGATCTAAGACCATAGAAGACAGGATCAACCAAGTGGAGGTCGGCCTGCACAAGGTCACCAACAATCTTCAATAAATAAAGGAAACCGTTACTGCGGTGATGGCTCGGTTAGGAAGAAGTGCAAATGGCAACAACCAGGAAGGAGATCATGAAGTTTTTGGCAGAGATCACAACCAACAATCTAGTATTCAACTAGGGAAACTTGATTTCCCTAGGTACGTCAGCCATGATCCACTTCCCCAGATTTTCAAGATAGCGCTACTTTGAATTCCACAGACCCCCAACAACCAACGAGTCTAGTTACTTCGTTCCATTTATAAGCCAAGGTTATACTCTGGTTCTAGTGGTTTAGCCGCTCTCACCCTMAAGTTTCGTGGGCAGACTTCACCGAATCTATATGCATTCGATTTGGAGCAAGGTTTGAAGATCAAGGCGAATCTCTACCCAAGCTTTGTCATATGGAAATTGTTTGAGAATACCGACAAGAATTCAAAAAACTTGAAACCAGGGTGCAAGGTTGGCCAGAGAAAGCCTTGCTCGAGTGTTTCATTGGAGGTGTGCATGAGGATATCAAGGTCGAAGTGAAGAGCATGCATCCCTCCTTTGTAATGGATACTGTCTGATTCACAAGGCTATAGGAGGAGAAGTTAAATTGGCTAAAGAAGATAGGATGATCACCAGCCCATGATATAGTCCAGGGCCCATGATATCACCAGCCCAAGCCAATAAACCATCATCACAAGCACTGGTTCCCTTCAAGAAGCTCTTGTGGGCTAAAATGCAAGCCTGTCGTGAGTGTGGTCTCTGCTATGACTGCGAGGAGAAGTTTGGCCCAGGACACAAATGCAAGGTCCAAAAGGTCCATCTCCTCCAAACTGATGATCTTGAAGCGGTAGAAAACCTTACAAAGCCAAATACAGTAGAAGAAACAAGTCCAGATGCCCCTGAGATCTCTCTACATGCTTTAAACGGGTCCAGCTGTCCAAGAACGATGAGGGTTGAAGGTATAGTGCTGGGTAAGATAGTGTCTGTGTTGATAGACAGCGACAACACCTTGAACTTTGTATCTGAAATTTTATCTAAGTAGCTAGGCCTAACTGTATACTAGATTCAACCCTTCAATGTCTAGGTAGCCAACGGCCATATCATTCCTTGTTCAGGATTATGCAAAGATGTAACCATGAAGATACAAGGGTATCTCTTTCAAACTGATCTGCACCCTCTACCATTCTCAAGATCTGATATTGTATTGGGAGTCCACTGGCTCACCCAACTAGGCCCAATGGTATGTGATTGGAGCCACATGACAATGGACTTCTTTGTAGATAGGGTGGACTGCCACCTTCACGGTGTTAGATATGTAACAGCCCAAACCCATAGTCTCTAGTCCATGTTCAAGTGTTGTGGGAAGTCGAACCACCATTTTTTGATGAGTATGGGCCTAGGTTTAGATAGCCTAATGTTGGCAGTAACAGATCAGGATCAGCCACATCATGAGGCCCATATAGCTCTTCAACAACTTTTGAGAGATTTTACGGATGTATTCAAAGAACCTCAAGGATTACCACCATCAAGACAGTGATCATAGAACCCCTATTACTCCGAGTGCTCCACCCAAAAATGTTGGGGTGTACAGGTATCCAAATTCCCGGAAAAGTGATAGAGAAAATCATTATTGAATTACTATCAAAGCAACATATACAACCTAGTTCCATCCCTTATTCCTCACCAGTTCTTCTAGTCAAAAAGAAAGGTAGAACTTGATGCTTTTGCATTGATTACAGAGCCTTAAGCAAGATAAACATGAAGGATAGGTTTCCAACACTACTGATTGAAGAGCTCTTGGATGGACTCAGGTCAGCCACTATCTTCTCTAAATTGGACTTAATATCCAGCTATCATCAAGTAAGGATCCACCTAGATGATGTCCACAAGACTGCAATTAAGGCACATGACGGCCATTATGAGTTTTTGGTGATGCCATTTGGGTTAACAAACACACCATCAATTTTTCAGTCACTCATGAACAAGGTATTTCATCCATACCTTTCATTTCATACTTGTATTTTTTATGATATTCTTGTCTATAGCCCAAATTGGGCCTCTCACTTAGACCATATTAGAATCACATTTAATACTCTTAGAGAACCATTCAACCTAAAAGCTTAAACTATTAGATGAGGTCCTTGAATTGGTTGGTATTCTCTAACACGCCCGCTCACACGAAATCCCATTGGGCTTGAAGTGTGAACAAGCACAGGCCCACCCATACCTTGTGCTGAAACTTAATTAATTATAATGAGGGTAATGAGAATCGAACACTAGACCACTTGGTCAAAAGTGGCTCTGAAACCATCTTAGAGAACCATTCARCCTAAAAGCTTAAACTGTTAGATGAGGTCCTTGAATAGGTTAATATTCTCTAACAAATACATTATGGCATCATCAATTATTTGCTAAAGAATCTAAATGTGATTTTGGTAAAATCCGGATTCATTATTTGGGTCACATGGTAAGCAACGACGTTGTCTCAACCAAACCCAAAAAAAAGCGGTTGCCATCAAGTCTTGGCCTCAACTTGTTGGAAGAGTTAGAAATCATATTAAACATGGCCGAACCATGTTTAGTGGTTGGCCAAATTTTGAAAAATTTTCTACCTCACCCGGGAATTGATTTCCCGATAATTTTGAAATCTGAAATTTCGAGGTCGAACTTGCACCGAACCGGACCAGGTTTAAAAACCAAATTAAAACTGATTATACCTGATACAAAGACCACAATGTGCAGCTCCTAGAGTGGTATTTCACACTCAATATCAATCCCMAAATCGGCCTCCAACTGAAGATGGTGCAGTGTGTATATGAAGCCAATTCAGCAAAACACCATTTTAGCAAAACCAGTCCCCAACTTGCTTGGATCGAGGTGGGTGTGTGAATCAGATATACTCTGATGTTTTTCTTGCAAAAACATAGTAGAGAACTGATGGAAATCAGCCCCTATCACAGCTGGGTCGAATTAGGGTTTCTAGGAGGCAAGGGAGAAGAGAAGAGAGCAAGAGAGCGGAGAGAATTGGTGAATTCACCCCTCCCCTCTTAGTCCCCCCTTATATAGAGCACTCTCCTAATCTGATTAGGAGCTGATCCAAATCAAATTTAGATCAGAACTTTATCTTTAATTGATAATCATTATCTTCTTAAGAGAATAGGTGCCCCATATCCAGAGCCATACCCATTTTCTATCCAAAATCACATGATAACTTAAGTTATCAAATGATCTCATAATTAATCATATAAGTAATAGGCCTTAGGCCCATTTTCTTTAATGGTTCACGTCCCAAGGTGTTGCATGGCCACTTTGGGCCTAAATATTGTATGGCGTGGCACCCACAAAAGTCTCACACAAGTCCATAAGGATTCGGCCCCACCTCTGGAAGAGGTTAGGCTTAATTCACTGCTCAGGGACAGTGAACCCCTGACCCAATCAGCTTGAGCTTAGTTTGGGCCCTATGAAGACCCAAGGATAATAGACTTATATAAGATAAAGCCTATCAGGTAATTAGCCCGGTAATGGTCTCTTACACCTAACCACTTGGCCCATAATCATCAAAACACTATCCACAGGGAAGGACTTCTTCGTTGACTACAAAATGCAGTGTCACTCTCTCTACTCGGATAGATCATGGGATTAAAACCTTTTGCAAACCTTTTTCATAAAATAATAATATAACATATAAATACATTTTACAAATCAGATTTCAAATATAGTTGAAATCCGCTACTGACAATTTATGTTTCCATTAGAGAGAGTGTAAACCCTGATATTCACTTTGCCTGACAAAGGGGGTGGTTCACTATGATCACCCACTCAGGTAATTTCCCAAATTGCCCCTACATACCTAGATATTTGACCCTTGATGGATTTCATTGGTTGGCACATCTATCTCCAAGGTGGCATAACTAGAAATTGGATGGGGTTCAATGTTTCTTCTAAACACCCACTGGTTGTGCTTGGGGTCTAAGCCTAGAAAATGAGACAAGCTGCTCCACCAGTTTGGTAGCACACCAGTGTCAGCCTTGTTAGGATAAACTCCCCAAGTCTATCTAATGGCTAAGAACATTCTAAACTAACACGAGTTTTATAAGTGTCCAGTTTAAGGAGTAATTCACAGAAACACACCAATAAGAACATGAAACAATAATGTACTTTATTCATTTATTGATAAATGTTTATGTACATCAATTTGATTGGAGCTAAAGGTATACATTGTCTAACAACCCACATCTATTAAAGTCACAAGGGGATTTTTGGGTCTGTCTAGATATTATAGGCAATTCATAAAAGGGTATGGACTATGGATAGATGGTAAGCCCATTAACCCAACTCTTGCGCAAGGGTTCCTTTGTGTAGACTAACACGACCCAATCTACATTTGATCAATTGAAGCAATCTCTCTCCAGCCCATCTACACTTGCCCTACCAAATTTTAGTAAAACTTTTATTCTTGAATGTGATGCTTCGGGGTGGCCTAGGTGCTATTCTTATGCAAGTAGGCCAGCCAATAGCATATTTTAGCAAGGCCATCAGTGTATCGGTCTGTATCGGCCATTGCTTCTCTTTTTTTTCTTTTCTTTGTGAACCTGGTTCAAAGAAGTCAGTCTAAGGCCCTTCTACCCCCTAAACCAGGTTAAACCCCGAAACACCCCCTGTAGGGGCATATCGGGAGGCTTCCAATATGATACGTATTGGCTGATATGGTTTGATACGTGTCGAAATTTTGAACCTTGGGTTTGATTATGTGATCGAGTATAAGCCTGATACTTCCAATAGAGCGACAGGTGCCCTGTCACTCATGTATGAAATCTCTTCTCTATTAGTCTCAACCAAAATACTTACTACTAGACATTCTCAAGCAAGAAGCCTAAGAAGATTCCAACTTACAAAATACACTCTAAATGGGCCCAAGATCTAGAACTGGTACCTGGCTACACAGTGGAAGGTTCAACTCTTTTCTATAAAGCAAACATGGTCTTCTCATCCACTTAAGCACACTTTCCCCAGTTGTTGCAATCAATGTTCAAAGAATTGGACCGGCCATAGAACTTAGAAGGGAGAGGTTCATGAGTCATAGGTTCAACTGGGTTGAACTGTGATGATGTGGCATATACATACATACATCTATCTATCTATCTATCTATCTATCTATCTATCTATCTATCTATCTATATATATCTATATATATTATAAATACTATATATAATATATTTACAAATTTTAATATATCTAAATATGGTAGATGGATGGCAATTTCCTTAATTTTTAAAGTAAATGACTAAGGTCCAAGGCTCTTAATTTATATTTTCTTTAAAATACATGCATAATAAAGTAATTTGCACAATAAAGAGTCATTAATTGATATAAGTAAAGAGGTGGATTAGTGGTAATTAAGTACTACATGAAAACAAGAAGTCATGGGTTCAACTCTTTAAACACATTTTAAAATTTCAATTATTTAAGGACCTGAGCAGTTTCATGAAACCGGGACCGATTCACCGGTTTTTCGGTTAAATTGGCTGGTCAGCCCATTTTCATCAATTTTTTAACAAATGYGGTTATTGGGGTGTGACCAAACCAGCCAGGGTCCCAGGTCACTGTTCAATCTGTCCGACCGGCCAGTCCAGTCCAGTTTCCTAAACGCTGGTTGCAATTGTACCATAGCTCGCCAAAAGGAGGACACTCAGGTACTGTAAGAACATATCATCACATTGCATCACATTATTATTGGATAGGCATGAAGTGCATTATTAAGGAATTTGTTGCACCATGCCCAACTTGTCAACACCCAAAATATGAGGCCCAATCTCCAGTACCAACCCCTAAAGATACCAAACTTAGTGTGGGAAGAAATCTTTCTTGATTTCATTGTGGGCCTACTCAAATGAAAAGGCTACTCTATTATCTTAGTGGTGGTTGACCGCCTAAGTATGCTAATTTCATGCCAATTGTCTCACCCATATAGTGTCACAACAGTAGAGAAATCACACACCTACATGGCACATCTAAGGCCATTCTCTCAGGTTGTGATCCTACCTTAAGTAATTTCTGGTGTGAATATTTCAWGCTCCAAGGCTCTACTCTCAACACCTCTACAAGTTACCACCCTTAGACGGATGGTCAAATGGAGGCCATTAATAGATGTTTGGAAACATATTTGTGATGTTTTGTCAGTGGTAATCCATGCCAGTGGGCCCAGTGGATCTCATGGGCCGAACTGTCGTACAATTCCACATTCCAATATTCCATATCTCTACAGGTGTGACCCCATTCAAGGCACTTTATGGGCGTGACCCTCCCCCATTTTTCCCTATGATAGAGATCCACCTCAGTAGCTCCTGTTGCCAACCACCTAACAGCAAGAGACAGAATTCTTGAGGAGCTCAAAATAAATTTGCTACAGGCCCAACAACAGATGAAATCTCAGTATGATAAACACCACGGACAAGTTGAATAGAAGACCTGCCTCTGTTTACAAAATTCAAGTCAGAATGTGGGAATCAGTACATGAAGCAAAAATTTTTGGGTTTATAACATAAGGCCTCAGACTATTTGTGCTTTGTGTAATCAACGGATGATCTGCAATTGGTACATGAATCATACAATATAGGTTGATATGACCTGAATAACTTATTTTTATAAATGAAGTATCATTTTATAGAACAGGATTTTTAATTATTTTATTTTAAACTTTACCTGCCACGTCATTTGCAATCTGTTCTGTATGGCCTTTCTGTGAGAACATAAATCGTAATGTAGGTCAATTTTGACTGATAACTTATTGTCTTAAACTTAACTTGATTTTCCCAAACATTTTTTTTCTCACTGTAGTCTATGGTGCTTTAACTCTTGCTAGCATAGTAAAACATTATATAGACCTTATATTAGTGTTAACCTGCAAGTTTCTATCAAGAACCTTACTAAATTAATTGTATTAAGGAGGAATACTTTCAACTCTGCCAGTGTGAGCTTGTCTTATACCGCTGGTCCCAAGCCCAGATAAAGAAGGGTTGCATCAGGTTGGAAACTGGTACTAAACTTTTGCCAAGTTCTCATGGTCATTGATCCTGATTTGTCTTTCTGTGTGAATTGAAYGAAATGGCAAAACAGGATTCGTGTAGCCAATCCCATATAATTGGGACCAGACTTAGATGATGATGATGGAGGAGGAAGAGAAGGAATACTCACCATTCTAACATCAAGGAAACCCCAAGTCAGGACAGGACAGTAGGATCCTTACTCTCTCCATGGTTCTAATTTTGATACCACCGAGGGAGTTAAGGGCCCACAATATAATGGCCTCTGCCACTCAAGGTCACAAAATTAACCTACCTATCAGATAGGTATAGCCACATTTTTCTTACTATAGGAGAGACTGCTTTACATGATTAGGCCAGTAATTCTTTCCATTCTGGATCTTGTACGCATTGAGCGGTTCATCATGATGAGCCTGAATACCCTGTGATTGCTACCATGGAGGAGCCATGGTACCCACTGGCATATATATTTGCTTCTTATGGATATCCATGTATTTATAGGAGTTGAAGCATTATTTCACCATCACACTTTATTCTCTTGAGTTAATTAATTTACTCACTCAAAAATGATTGAAGTAAAAGCCTCGGTTGTGGAATTTAAGAAACTTGTAAATATCTAGAGTAACTAGTAAAGAAAAATTAATATTTGTTTTATTTTGTGAGTACACTTCTTCATAATAAATTATCATTTCGTGCAGGTGATTCCTTCTGCAATCTTTGCACTAATTGTCAAACCTTATACACATCATCTACTTATCAACAGAATGCTTTGGGCCTTTTGTGTGTATTTGGAATCCGTATCAGTCCTGCCTCAACTTCGTCTGATGCAGAATGCGAAGGTTTGGATCCCGCTGGGTTCTTTAAGCTTCTAATTCAGTGGTTTATTATTCTTTAATCACTAATAGTCTCTCTTGGTTAAATGTTTCAGATGGTTGAGCCGTTTACTGCTCATTACGTTTTTGCATTGGGTGTTGCAAGATTTTTGGGCTGTGCTCATTGGATCCTCCGGGTGAGTTATAGCAAGAAAATATTGTGCTACGCATGAAATTACTTAGGCATTATATGTATAATCACGGTAAGTGTAATTTTTAAAATTTCTCATGTTTGAATTGAAGGGCAATTATCAAGCTCCGTGTCTATATGCATCTGTATCTAACATGTAGGGATTGGAACCCACCATTTCTAGCGTTGAAACTTAGAGATCCCCAAGGCCAAAATCCAGTCCTGTGATGCTTATTGTCAATTATTTGACATTTTCCTGGGCTAGTTGCAATGCTGTTTTCCTGATCATTCATAAATCATAACGGCTTTCTGAAGCAGGCTGATTGTGAGGTTATCTTTTGGCCTAGGCAATCTCCAAGGTGGAACAACAAGAATAGTGGTTCCTAACCCCCTTCCTGGTTTATCGGATATATGTGCGACAGTTGGCAGGATGTTAATGCTTCTTTCGTTTTCTCATCTTAAACATGATTATCTCTCCATTATCGTGAAGGCTTTTTCATGACAATTATATAACCTGACCTTCATATTCAACCAAACTAGGGCAAGAAAGAGAGAGGAAAAAGAAATTTTGACAGGTAATTACTGATGAAAAAACAACATTGATATAGGAGCAGTAGAAAGTTAAACCCCGTGAATTTTGAATACTACCTGATTGGTCACCCCTTTTGTGAGACCGGTTGATGGGCTGTAAGTTTTTCTGGTATAAAATCTTTCCGCTATGGTACTCATACTATTTGTAAGTTTTTCTGTATTCAAACTCCATGTGTGGTGCAGGTCATTGAAACCCGTGGGTCCTATATATTCCTCCATGGAACTGGGTACTTGTGGCTACCAGTAGTTTTTCTTTCAGAAATTATTCAGACCTTTATTTTGGCCGACTTCTGTTACTATTATATCAAGAGGTAAACTACCAATTTCAACTATAGGCAATTAATTCCATCAATATCTTTTGTCACTACAGCAAGCATTAAATTGTGACTGTTGCTTGTGCATATTCGATTTGCAGTGTTGTGGAAGGTCAACTTGTAATGAGGATGCCATCGTTTGTCTAAATGGTCGTCAGCAACTTAATTGGCCAACTTGTGATGCGACTAATGTTTATTTGATATTCACTGCAGTCTAATCTGAACAACACTTACCARGAGTAGCTTCCTTTTACTACCGTTTCTCCTCGGAACTTTTTTTTGTTCTGCCACCCTTGAATTTAAATGGAAGTTTTACAATTTTCTCTATCCATATTGAACTTAGTTTTTGAACAGTTTTCAGAAGTCCAAGCGATCTACTAGATTAAGAGATCGGCTGTACAGGATGCAAACAATGGACAGATAATCCTATCATTTGAGATGTACGCTACTGACCCAGGTGGTCAATCTACTGTCCTTCTCAAAGAACTGTTCAACCTAAAAAATTGAAGTTGGTTTGGTGAGGTCCCTGAATGGGTTTCTATTCTCTAGCATGCCCTCATGTAAATGCCCATCAGTCTTACAAGTCTTTAAGACTTTCATCTCTCTTCATTAACTCGCCATTAATTCTCTCTTTTCTTTTTCTCATTAATTCCTTTGATTACCTCTCCTCATTAATCATTCTATTAACTCTCTCTCCTTCGATAACTCGTTCTACTAATTCTCTCTCTTCTCAATTACTCCATTAAATTGTCTAAAATTCATTTGCTCTTTTTCTTTTTTTTTTCCCTTTCTTATTTTATTCTCTCTCCTATCCTCATTAATTTAATAAACCAAAAGCAATTTGCTTAGGGGGTGATCATTTCATTTTGGTCTAGGCCCATGTCCACATCAAGCCCACAAATTTCAAGGCCAGAATGAGCCCAATCCAACACATAAACAAATAACAATTTAAAAATTAGTTAATAAAAATATCATAAATGGTCAAATCATCTAAAAATAATGAGAGAGAGAGAGAGAGAATTCTAAGACATAGGTCGCTCCTTCCATCACTAACATATTTTAGCATATTTCTATAAGCTTTTTCCATTATTAGCCTATTGAATTCCAATGAGAGAAAATTTTACTCTCATCCAAATTCCATTTATTTGTTTCATATTCAAATTCTATTTAATTGGTTAGTTGTTAGAAAATCATAACTTAAAATTAATAAAAAAATATTAAAATTATTAAATTTGAGAAAGTTTTTATCTAGCAACTAATAAGAATTAGGAAAGTAGTTCATAATTAATATTAATAGGAAATTAAAACTAATAATAAAAAGTAATAAAATAAACCATTTGCACTCCATATAAAAATTAGTTAAAATAATAAAACTAATAATGGCCCAATTAGAAATGTCATAAGACTCCTACTTAGGGATTATCATTTATAACTTAGCCTAAGCCAACTAAACCTACAAATTTCTAGGCTCAAGCAACTATTTTCTTTTGAGTCAAACTCAGATTTGCACTAAGTCCACACATAATGTAGACARTAGGGTTGCAAATGGATTGGATCTAGTTGCATTTGCTTCTATATTTAAATATGAAATCTCTAGATCCGCATCAACATCTGATTGATATATCAAATTTTGGATCGGATGCAGATTTAATCTACAATCATCTTATTGTGTTTAAAATGATCAAAAAATAAACAGTTTAAAAAAAAACTAATTATTTTTAAAGCATATATGTATAATACATATAACTAAATATAAAATATTAAATTTATCAATTATAAAGTTTATATAATTATACAAAATATCTATATATGTATACATAATTATATTATATATACATAAAATAATAATATTTTATTGGACTTGGATTTCAATCGGATTGAATGGGGTTTAATCCACAACTGATCTAATTATTAATTTAATTAAAGTTCTAATGTTCAAATTAGGTATCGGACTTTCAGAATCCATTAATAGCCCTAGTGGGTAGCGCCCAAGCTAAGCAATTGGGACCTCAGAGTGTAGCATGGGCTGATCCTACCCCCCTATGATAGTACCGTCAATGTGCATGTTGTTGTTGTTGACGTTGTTGACGGGGTTGTTGCTTGAAGATGCCATTGAGTTGAAGTTTGGGAGACAAGTGAGAATTAGGCTTTTGTCTAACGTATTCCCAYAGATGGCACCAATCGATTAGGAGAGTGCTCTATATAAAGGCAAAAGAGGGGAGAGTTCAATTCAGCTAATTCTCTCCACTCTCTTGTTCTCTCCTCTTCTCCCTTGCCTTCCAAAAACCCTAATTCAACTTAGCATTGTTAGGGACTGATTTCTACTAGTCCTCCACTATGTTTTTGCAAGAAAAGCATTAGAGCATATCAGGTTTACAAAGCCAATTGGACCCAAGAAAGTTGGAGAACAATTTTTGTTGAAACGGTGTTGCTGAATTGGCTTCACATACACACTGCACTATTTTCAGTTGGAGAACAATACTTTGGGAGCTTCATTTTGTGGTCTCCATATCAGGTATGATCAGTTTTAATTTGGGTTTCAAATATGGTCTAGTTCAGTGCAAGATCGATCTAGAAATTTCAGATTTCAAAATTACTGAAAATCAGTCTTGGGTTGGATTAGAAAATTTTTGTAAATTCAGTCGGCCACCAAATCTGGTTAGGCCTTGTCAAACCTAATTTCTAACCCTTCGAACAATAGGGAGTCCCTTTCTAGTCCCAACCGTATTGACCTCAACAAAGATTTACTAATACAAAACCTAGAACATAGGAAGAGAATGCCCCCACTGGCCTGAAGAAAGGGAAGAAGCAATGTCTTCCTCTAGGTCTTGAACTTATGATTGGTTCAAGGCTTGAGACCAATGAGCACAAGATGGAGTTCTTAGAAAAAGAAAGTGAACAAGGCTAGGCAAAGAGAAGGGATATGGAAAGAGAGACAAGGAGATTGTTGTTGAGTGAGAAAGAGATAGAAATTGAGAGGGCAAAGGTGAGAGAAATGGTAAAAGAAGAAGATAGGAAAAGGAAACGAGAAAAGGAAAGAGAAAAGGCCATGGAAAGGGAGCAAGTGAAAGAGCAATTGAAGACTTGTATTGGAATCCTTAACAACATATTTTTAGCCAAAGGTTTGTCTCCTACATGCTACTTCAAGGCTACCCATCTATTCCAAGATGAGGCATGGAGGACTACATTCCTTGCAATTCCTCTTGAGCTTAGGATTTATTGGCTTCACGGATTAGGTGATGGATAGACTAATTTGTGACTACGACCAAGCTTAGGCAATTGGCTTTAATGACTACATATTAACTTATAGTAGTTTGTTACATAATGACTATAGATTTGTGATGACCTTAGAGCCTATACAAACTTGCGATGAGTTCAAATCCTGCATAGACTTACGATGAGCTCAAAGCCTACATGGACTTGCGAAGAGCATATTTGAAACCCACAAAATGGCTCGAGTTCATCATGATATGGTCTGGTTTGTAGTCGTGAACCACTACAAATATGGTCTGGTTTGTAGTCGTGAGATTGCGAAGAGCTCAGAGCCATTGCAAATCAGCAATGAACAAAAAATACGTTTAGCCAATATCATTCGTGACAGGACGCAGAGTAGGATTAAGAAAAGACACGTCAAGACTAACACTGACATCATCCATGCCATGTCAGTATAGGAGACCCACAAAATGAAGTAGCATATGTGTATTATGAGAATCCTCAGACAAAAAAAAACATTGTTCTACAGAGATCTCATAAGACATGTGGCGAACCCTTAGTAGTGTCCCCTAACAATTGACATTGAATCTAWGATTCCCTTTCCGAATGGGAATCAAACTATTTTAGCTCATTCCTTTCAGGACCTCGAGATCTCTTTCTATAAAATGAGGCATGGACCATAATGAACATACGACTCTGTCGATAGAAGCCCTTAGCCTACCCTTGCTCCCAGCCTTCCTTCGTTTTTCAAGGAGACCACCACACGTAGCCTTACCACACCACTCACATTAGAATCTCTAGTTATCCCTTGATCATGAAGGACGGCCGCCCGTAGGATCAACCTTTCCCCAATCTTAGAAGATAAATCCAATGATCACGAGAACATCAACCTAGAGGTCAAAGACAAGATTGGTCAAGAGTCCGTCGAACAGGCCAACATTGAAATCCTGTCCAACAAAGCATATGACTTTGAGGCTCATTTCAACCAGCTAGAACGGATGCAGGCCAAGATGAGAAACACCTTGCAATTGCTTCCCCAAAGGACATCTACAACTGAGTATTCTCCATTCACCCCTGCTAGCCCTTTTGCATATGCCCCTGCTAATCACTCGGCGAACCTGAACCCTGGCATAAGCGAGCATCCTCCCAAAACCAACCCTACACCTACACTAGATGCAACGCAAAGAACTCATTTCTCTGCTGTTGAGCAAACTTGTGTGGTCCCATAGGACAACACGATGGTGGAAGCGCCCATCAGCCGCACTGAATTGAAAGAACATGTCTATGACCTAATCGAGAAAAGCCACAACAAAGCCCAATCTACACTCGTGCTCCAAAATCCCTACTCTAACTGTATCCCTTTAGTTACATCCCATTGTAGCAATGGCCACATTACGACAGAATTGGTGAACCAACATATACGTGGTTCGTCAATCTGATCGCAGGGAGTATAGACTCGTGGGCAGAATTGGTGAAGAATCTCCTCTCTAAATGGTTGACCCTGGAGCGGAGGTCGACGATGGTAGACCTGCGCAACACAGAGCAACATTCCAAAGAAGACCTTCTAGCTTATGTCATGCGGTTCCAAAAATTAACTCATTCAGTCTTCGACGAGCACGCGACAGAGAAAAGCTTCGTTGAATAGTGCGTGCAAGGAATGCACCCGACCTATAGAATAGGCATTGAAATCATTGAAGTCGAGACCTTCAGCCAACTATGGAAGTGCATAGAAAGAACAATGCGTACTATCACAAACACTGCACCTCAGTCAGTCTCAGCAACATCGCAGTATGCAATAAACAAAGCATACACTGTCGAATGAAGACCTCAGAACACCAGGGGGCCTAACTAGGGGCCTTATTATCGTGGCGACAACCAAAATCAACGAAACGACCCACTACCACCAACCCCTCCCCCTTTCGCCCGCAGCAAAAGTGGAGTCATTATGATCATGAACAAGTTGGCGGATGATCGTGTAATCAGCTTGCCACTGCCACCACCTAGAGTTGACCCTGAGAAAGAAAGGCATGGACGGAGGTGGTGCAACTACCACCAATCACTGAACCATGATTTAATGTATAGTTTCGCCCTTCAGTGGCTCTTCGTGCAAAAAGTGAAATTAGATGATTTTGTTAAGAAGAAACCAACCCCCTCCCTGCACATCCCCATGGAG